TACACACACACACATACACACTTTGTTTTATATATATATATATATATATATATATATATATATATATATATATACATACATACATATATATATATATAAAATAAGAACAAAATACTAAAGAACTCCAGATTATTTATCTAACGTGTTCTTTCCTATTTTTCTACATGTCTGAATATATATATATATATGTGTGTGTGTGTGTGTGCGTGTGTGTGTATGTGTAAGCAAATATATGGATATAGATCCGACAGTATGAAGAAAAATATACAGAAAAGACAAGCAAAAATCTTAATATGCAATTATTAACATTAATACAGCATAATTGTATATTAAGATTTTTGTTTGTTTTTTCTGTATATTTTTCTTCATATATATATATATATATATATATACGCAAACAAGTTTGATGAAAATATGATGTGTACTCCCGGTTTAATATATTTTTGTATTTTTTCCAATTTTGGAATAATATGTTGAGAATTGTACTCGAAGTTGTGGATTAATCCGAAAATTTTAAAAATCTCTATCTTAAAAGGCAGGATGTGTGTGTGTGTGTGTGTGTGCGCGCGCGTGTGTGCGTGTGTGTGTGTGTGTGTGCGCGCGCGTGTGTGTGCGTGTGTGTGTGTGTATGTGTAACAAATGCACGGCCGCAATTTTCGACGGATTTGCACCAAAATTTACATGCACATGCTCCACGTTAGCGGGAAGAAAGCCAAGACCGACTTTGCATTTCCCAACTCCCATCGATAGTGGAAATAATCGATTGTTTTTTATATTTCTACGGCAGTTTTCGTGTAGTTTGCGGCCATTTTCTACTGGCCAGAGTAAGAGCCAATAGCTGGCTGCCACAAATAGGCAGGAAGATTCTATTGGCCAGCGTGAGAGCCAACAGCTGACTGACCCGAATGTTAACTAGCATGCTAGCACGTAAAAAAAAATCAATAGCTGCATTCGTCACAAGTCGGAAAAATTTAAATCTGCATGACACTTTACTCCAATTGGCTCATTTACTTGCTTAAACTCATCGTTGATTCTGATTCCGCAGAACTGGGTTGGGTGTGAAAAAGTATTTGTTGTTAACATTCATTTTTCATTCGGTTTTTCCACTTAGGAGTCCTTTTTTTTAAAGCTGATCGTTTTGTGTTTATTTTGTTTAGTTCTTTTTTTGTAACAGATTTAATGTTTAGTATAGAGCTTAGAAAAAATTCGCAGTGTGAGACAAGAGGTAAGGCATGTAACAACATCAGCACGGCAAAGGGTACTCCTTTAAAGGCAAGGAAGGGCAAAAATATTTTAAGTCAAGTGATCGCAATTGCTTTATGAGTCGTAAGATTTTTGGATCAAGCACGGGCAACGCCGGGCCATGCTGCTAGTGCAATATAAAATTAAGCTCTCAGACCTTAGCGATTATTTTTAATCAGACTTCTTTGGCTGAATATTTGTTGCCTAATATAACATTTTCATATATATATATATATATATATATATATATATATATATTCCTTCGCGACACAGAAATTACTAAGTGTCGAAACTGGTCACCCTTATTCAATTTTAAATTCAATTTTAAACCTTAATTGTTGGATGAGAGTTTCTTCCACAGACGATCTTTGAAATTCAAATATCGCCTGAGGATGAAATTGGTATATGATACATACATACATATATATATATATATATATATATATATATATATATATATATATATAAAAGTGGACATTGAAGTCAACAAGCTGTGTCATGCTAAAAGCAATCATCAGGTCATATATATATATATATATATACATATATAGATAGATAGATAGATAGATAGATAGATAGATAGGTATAGATATGGATATAGATAGATACAGATATAAGTATTTAATAATACTGATGAGGTTTGTTTCTTTTACTTTTTATTTACTCTTTCCAATTCCCAAATAACTTGTCTTCTGTCAAAATTTAAAATTGTATGCTTTCCAAAATGCATATTTTATGCAATCGCCTTATTTCGATTGAAATTACAATCGGTATTCAGATTTATTCGTCTGTTTTGAAAATTCTAATGGTTTTCAATTTGCTGAATTATTTTGAAGTCATAAAAGGTGACGTCATCTGCAAGCATAAAAGTAGATTTATCCGTGTTTTGTTTTGTATAAACACACTCCAATATACGATCTGCTAATGGAGAAAGATATTTTATTTAATGAAGGATGTTTCTGTTCAATTCTAATGGTTACTAGAATTTGGAGTCCTTTTTTTTTTTTTTTAATTGAATCCGAGATAATATTTCACCGAACTCATTTTGGTAAACAAAAATAACTTGCAATTTCATATAAGGAATGGAGTCAGATTCAAAAAAGGAAAGGATGATATATGGAAAATTATGGAAAAACGCGCGGTCACGTCGCACACACACACACACACACACACACACACACACACACACACACAAACACACATATAATCCATGTGGATCCTAAATATCAAATATTAAAAACTGATCTACAAAATAGCATATCAATTACACAACAAAAATCCAAAATTACCTTGATATGGGGGTGGGGTTATACATCTATTTCAGTCAAAGTGAAGTAGGTGTATGGACTGTATATATATATATATATATATATATATATATATATATATATATATATATATATATATATATAAGTGTGTGTGTGAGTGAAAACAAAATGAAAAAACTTAGCTGGCACGTTTTGTACTCTAAGGATTTTATTTTTTTAACAAGCATTTAGACACAAAAGTAAAAATGTTATTGGTTTTCAAAACAAATAAATTGAAAAAACAATAACATTTTTGCCCTCATACATAAAACAGTGTCACAAAAATACATATATGTATGTATGTATGTATGTATGTATATTTGAATAAAAAGAAAGAACAGTTTAGATACGTGTAGCGAAAAAAACATATTTAAATCAGTTAATTTTAATAATATATATATATATATATATATATATATATATATATATATATAGTGTAACCTGGATATAAGAGAGTTGTCGGGACCGGAGGAGTGTCACTTATATCCGGGTTTCTTTTATATCTGGGTTTCATATCCGGGTTTATTTTATATACATTAACACAGGCTCTAATTTGGGACCAGAGAAAAATCTCTCTTATATCCGGGTTACACTGTAATACATATATACATTAGAATGTGTAATGTATATGTATATATACATATATGTATATATATATACATATAATATATATTTATATATATAATATATATATGTATACGCACACACACACACACATATAAACACTGTGTATGTGTGGATGTACACCTTATGTATTTGTTCTGAGGCCTTCACGAGTGTGTCAAGGCGTTTAATGTCGTGTGAACAGGGCAGATCCCTTCGTGTCAGACTTTACTTCTGTCTGTCTGTCTATCTCTATCTCTCTCTCTCTCTTTCATTCTCCCATACACACATTCTCTCGCACTGCCACTGATTGTCTTCAGTTTACACACACGGGCGTCTTTTGTACCCTCGAAATAATTCTCAAATATGCGCATGCGTGTTTATGTGCGTACAGATATATACACACATATGTGTGTGTTTGTTTATATGTGTGTGCGTGTGTGTCTACTTACTTGTGGACAGATATGTGTCAAAGAAAATGCCCCCCCCCGCCAATGCCACCCTCTCTTCCCACGATCTTGCCTTCTTCTCCTCCTCTTTCTCTTCCTCCTTCCCTGATTTTCGTCTCTCCTCAGCCAACCACCAGCTTTTATTGTGTGTCTGTGTGAGCGTCTATGCGCATTTGCGTCTCTTTCTCTCGCTAAAGCTGTGCGAGCCAATCGATGTTCTTGTCATTTAAAAGCTAGCAACAATCCAACCCGTACAACACGTTTTTTTATTATCCCCTTTTCTTGTTTTTTTTTTTATAATTCTTCATTGCCTTTTTTTTGTATCTTTCCCTCCTCCTCTTGTGCCTGTGTGTGACCCTTTATTCGCTGTGCCTGTCCAAGACAAGAAAAAAGAAAAAAAAGAAAAAAAAACAAAGGAAAATTCAAATTCCGTCCATTTTTCGCCTTGTACACGCTCTGCTACCATTTAAAAAAATCATCTAGTGCCTCTTCAAAGAATCAACATTCTCCGTCATTTTATCTATCTATATGTTTATGTGAGAAGGTAAACCTATCAAAACACAGTTTTATAAACACACACGCACACACACACACACACTCACACATATATATACATATATATTAAATATATATAAATATATATATATATATATATATATATATATATATGTAACAAAGAGAAAAATTTCCCGACTAACAAGCTCTATCTGTGTTTAAGTTGAATTTACTAAATGCGTGTGTCTGTCTGTGTGTCATGGGATAAAATATATATTTGTGTATAAAATGCTAAAATGGATAAAGAGAGAGAGAGAGAAGAAGAAGGAGGAGAAGAAGAAGAAGAAGAAGAAAAAAAAAAGAAAAAAGAAACAAAAAATATTCTCCCTCGTTAATTTCTTTTGTTCGTAAGCTCTATAGGCAAGCATGATGAAAAGTCGCACCTCTTAAAATTCTAGAATTCTTTGGAATATATGTGTACTAGCTACCCTCCTAACTAGCCAAAAAAAGTTTTGTTTTTTTTTAAACAAAAAAGAGAGTGAGAGAGAGAGAGAGAGAGAGAACAACGAAAAAAGAGAGAAAAAAAAAACTAAGCAAAAAAAAAAAAAGAAAAATGTTTTGTTGAAAGTTTCTGTCAAACCTGTCTATCTGTCTGTCCGTCTCTCTATTTGTCTTTCGGTCGGCTTTTCAAACTCACTAATTCGGTTTTTGCAGTCCCGTTTCCGTGCGTATATGTTACTTGTATCACACGTCATTGCAGAGCGATCAGGATTATTACAAGATGATTTCGGCTTCTCCCGTATGTGGGCACCCCTCCACGCGCGACTATTACAACATGATTGGAAAATACCTCAACGTTATTTCACAAGGATTCAGTTACTTTTTTACTATTACAACTTCTACGATGACGGCGACAAATACAAATAAGTCAGTACCACATCCAGCAAAGGCATTTTTACCAAACAGCACCCTCGCCAACGGAGATTACACTGAAACTGATCCAGAAGTACCAAATTTGGAAACCAGGAAGAAGAGTACCATTTTTATAATTCCAATTTCGGTTAAGAAACCAAATACTAATAGTGGTACTACTACAACTGAGACTACGGCTTCTACTTCACTCTCTGCATCTGTCAGTACTTCTTCGACTGCTATTGCGACGACGACTTCTGCTAGTGCTATAGTTTCGCTACCCGTCTCGGACGGCACGTATGTCGTTACTTCAGTTCAAACCAAATCTACCAACGCTTGCAACACAGTTCACATTAATAACAGTAGAAACGTCATTAAACCAACAAACAACACCTCCATCGGATACGGAGATGAGAGTTGCAATAGCCGTACAAAGCGTTGCTACAGTTACTACCAAGGCCTCAACAGGAAAAGCGATCTGCCGAAAGGTACTGGCAATAAGCTTGTAAAATCTGCGTCGTCTCCCAGTCGCTCTTGTTTCTTTTCTCAACACGTTGGGCTAAACTTGCCCTTGTTCATGTGGCTATATTTTATACAAATTCTAATTGTACTAAATGGACAAAGTAAGTATGCGATGGCTGAAGCAACATCTCACGGTAAGTACTTTTTTTTCTTTGACACTGTGCACTATGATCTTATGTACATAAACATGTTTAGGAGGGGGTTATGTGGGATAATCAGTATTATTATTAAACAGTGACTTACTTGGACCACTGTCCTGATATTGACTGTTCTTCGCAATATTTCGATCGTTCTATTCTCTGGTCATCACCGGCAGACACCTGAAAAAAGTACAAAATATTCCCCGACCGAAAACACGCTGTGATAATAATAACTGAAATAAAGATACTCGTCTGAATTGGTGTAGATAAGTACAGTTTGCCTTGATAATATATATATATATATATATATATATATATATATATTTCCCTAACATTATAACAATATTTGTGTACGGATTTGCATGTTTGAAAAACAAAACATAAATAACAGAAATTTTAATCCCACATCTATCTATCTATCTATCTGTCGTATTCTTTTTATATTTATCTATCTACCGTATTATTTTCATAGTCTATCTATCTATCGTATTGTTTTTATATCTATCTATCTATCTATCTATCTATCTATCTATCTATCTATCTAAATATCTATCTATCTATCTATGTGAAGTGGGTGCTGAAAATACCCGGAAGAACGGAAAGGTCTTATTTGTGGACATTTGTTCACACTTGTTGGGGAAATGGGTCAGCCACCTTATATATGGGTAAGAATTTATTTTTTCATTTTATTTAAATAAATGAAAGCTCCATGCCAAAAGGCACATGCACGGATTTCATTGTCAAAATATTTATCTCACTCTCTCTCTCTCGCTATATATTGTGATATTCACAGACGTACTTGGTGAGCTTAAATATTTCATTTACTTCAGTGAATGTCCGCGTATATGGGCGTGTGAATATATGTATGCATCTCTGTTATATACGTTACTATCTATCTTTCTATCTATCTGTATATCTCTATGTCTGTCTGCTTATCTATCTGTCTGTCTGAATTTGTCTGATTACGTAACTATTTATCTATCTCTTTCATTCACATATATATATATATGCTTTAATCTGTATCCATATTCTTGTGTGCATATAGAAATTTCTTTATAAAAAAACATGTCATTGAAATTATTCATCAAAGAAAAATATCACAAGTATGTGATAAAATATTGTTTTATGTTCATTGGTTAAAGAAGTGCACAATATCAGTGATAATGTATATCCTCTGATATATATATATATATATATATATATATATATGTATATATATATATATATATATATATATATATATATATATATATATATATAAAGTGGATACTGAATGTCGACTTTATATTTACATACATATATATATATATATATATATATATATATATATTTATATACATACATATATATATAAATATATATATATATATATATATATATATATATATATATATCGCGTATCGTAGGTCTGATTCTTGGTCTATACCCACCAGTTCGATCCCAACCTTTCTATAAAACAGTTGTGTTAATCAAATATTATTAATTTGTATTTATCTGTTGTTATCGTCATATCAAAAACACATCAACAAATATTTTCCCTTAAATGCATAGAAGCATGCCTAAGTGCATTATCCTGTTTCTGTGCAGGTGGGTGTGTAGAAATGCACAAAATATCACTAAAAAGCATGTGGATGAAAAAAAAAATATGATGAAGCCATGCGTTTCTTTGTAAGAAACTGAGTTGAGAGAGAGAAAGTTTCCTCTCACAAAAGAATCAGCCTTATGACTGCGGTAAAAAAAGAGAGAGTAAGCGAGTTGTTGACATCTTAATGAACAGCATTGCATAAAAACGATTTAAAAAAAAACAACACTACTTCCTTTTCTTATTAG